ATCTCAGCGGATGCTCCATCCAGGGTGGCATTACCGCTGGTCCGCACCATCCAGGCCAACGCCACTACTATCTGGCAGACCCCGGCCTCTATTCCGCCCACGGCCAGAGGGGTTGAGAGAAAATACTTTGTCCCATCCAGAGATCATGAGTATCTGTACATTCACCCCCAACCGTGCTCACTGTTGGTTTCCTCAGTGAATGCACGGGAGCGCCATGGCCAGCAGGCCGCTGCGCCCAAATCGAAGGACGCTAAGCGCTTCGATTTGTTCGGACGCAAGGTGTATTCGGCTGGCGGACTGCAATTGCGGGCAGCGAACCAGCAGGCACTACTGAGCCGCTACGGCTTCAATATGTGGTCCTCGATGGGGAAATTTAAAGAACTGGTTCCCCAGGACTCGAGGGACGAGTTTGGGGCCCTGGTAGAGGAGGGCAAGCGGGTGGCATGCACCTCCCTACAGGCGTCCCTTGATATAGCGGACTCGGCCGCTAGGACCCTGGCGTCGGGGATAGCAATGCGCCGAATCTCCTGGCTCCAGGTGTCGGGCTTGCCTCCGGAACTGCAGCAGACCCTGCAGGATCTACCGTTTGAGGGCCAGGGCCTCTTTTCGGAGAAAACAGACTCGAGGCTCCAAAACCTTAAGGACTCTCGAACAATGATGCGCTCCCTGGGGATGCATGTCCCAGGGCCTCAGCGCAGGCCCTTCAGGCCACAGCCTCAGCGGTTCTACCCTCCCCCGCCTCGTCCAAGACAGGACTTTGCTAGGAGGCGGGGTCGAGGTGGTAGGCGAAGGTCGACCGGCCCTCAACCCGGTCAGAACCAGGGCCAACCTAGGCCACCTTCTGGGCCTAGGCAAGCCTTTTGAAGGTGCGGTCGAGGACGGCACCTTAGCCACTTTCCAGGATCCGGTTCCCCCCTTCCGGGATCGCCTCTCCCGTTTCCACCGTGCTTGGTCCCGTATAACCTCGGACCGTTGGGTCCTTCGCACGGTGGAGAGGGGATACGCCCTCCAGTTTTCCTCGCCCCCCCCCATCCCACTCCCCCTCCCCGTCCCTCTTCAGGGACCCTTCTCACGAGCAACTCCTTACTCAGGAGGTTTTTGGGCTCCTCGCTATGGGGGCCATAGAGGAGGTTCCTTCGGAGCTAAGGGGCAGGGGGTTTTACTCCCGCTACTTCCTGATACCCAAGTCAAAAGGGGGTCTACGGCCCATCTTAGACTTACGCGGACTCAACAAATTCATAGTAAAGTTGAAGTTCCGCATGGTGTCATTGGGGACCATTATCCCTTCACTGGATCCTGGAGACTGGTTCGCCGCCCTCGACATGAAGGACGCTTACTTTCACATAGCAATTTATCCGCCCCACAGACGTTTCCTGCGATTCGTGGTAAACAGGGTACACTACCAATTCGCAGTCCTTCCCTTCGGCTTGTCCTCGGCTCCCAGGGTCTTCACAAAGTGCCTGGCAGTCGTCGCGGCCTTCCTTCGTCGACAAGGGATACAGCTGTTCCCGTACTTGGACGACTGGCTGGTACGCGGCCGCACCAGAGACCAAGTGCAGGCCCATGTCCACATAGTGGCACGCACTTTCCACGAGCTGGGCATTCTACTCAACAAAGAGAAGTCCACTCTAGTACCAACTCAAAGAATAGAGTTCATTGGAGCAATCCTGGACTCCAGACATGCCCGAGCCATCCTGCCAGACAGCCGCTTTCATACCATCTCAAGCGTCATTCAAGGACTCAGGGCCTTTCCAACTACCACCATAAGGGCATGCCTTGCCCTCTTGGGCCACATGGCCTCGTGCACCTACGTAACCAGGCACGCCAGGCTGCGACTTCGCCCATTGCAGACTTGGGTGTCATCGGTTTACCGTCCTCATCGAGACGACCTGAGCATGGTGGTCACGGTTCCGACCGCAGTCTTGGCCTCCCTCACATGGTGGACGGATCGCACGACGGTCTGTGCAGGAGTACCCTTTCACGCCCCACAGCCCTCCCTCCACCTAGTTACGGACGCTTCCTCTATAGGATGGGGCGCTCACCTGGGGGAGCATCATACCCAAGGCCTGTGGTCGGCGTCCCAACTAGCCCTGCACATCAACGTCCGAGAGCTGATGGCAGTGCGCCTGGCTTGTCAGGCTTTCCTCAACTTCCTACAGGGCCGTTGCGTGCTGATTCTCACCGACAACACCACGGCCATGTTTTACATCAACAAGCAAGGCGGAGCCCGCTCATCTCCCCTATGCCGAGAGGCCATTCGCCTGTGGGACTTTTGCATCGCCCACTCGATACATCTCACGGCGTCATTCCTGCCTGGAGTCCAGAATACGCTGGCGGACCGTCTCAGCAGGTCCTTCCAAACGCACGAGTGGTCGATTCGCCCGGACATCATCTATTCCGTCTTCCAGAGGTGGGGGTTTCCCCAGATCGACCTGTTCGCATCTCGGGCCAACAGGAAGTGCCAGGCATTCTGCTCCCTCCACGGGCGAGCCCCGGGCTCTCGCTCGGACGCCTTCCTCATGGCATGGAAAGACCATCTGTTCTACGCCTTTCCCCCATTCCCGCTGGTCCACAGGGTGCTACTCAAGATCCGCAGGGACCATGCACGGGTAATTCTAGTCGCTCCTGCTTGGCCGAGACAGCACTGGTACACCACACTTCTAGAGCTGTCAGTACAGAGGCCGATCACGCTCCCCTTGAGTCCGGATCTCATCTCTCAGGACCACGGCCGGCTGTGTCACCCCGACCTGCAGTCGCTCCACCTCACGGCGTGGATGCTTCATGGTTGAGTCGCTCAGAGCGGCAATGCTCGCAGGCCGTCCAACAGGTCCTGCTGGGAAGTAGAAAGCCCTCTACGCGGACCACTTATTTAGCCAAGTGGAAGAGGTTCTCCTGCTGGTGTGAGCAACGAGCTACGTCTCCCTCGCAGGCTCCTATCCCCTTGATACTGGAATACCTCCTGTCCCTCAGACAGCAAGGCTTGGCGACATCCTCAATTAGGGTTCACCTCGCCGCTATTTCCGCTTTCCACCCAGGGGAACTCACGTCCTCGGTCTTCTCGAACCCGATGGTCGTTAGATTCCTCAAGGGCTTAGACCGGCTATACCCACAGCAGCGACAGCTGGTTCCAACGTGGGACCTCAACCTCGTCCTCTCCAGGCTCACAGGGCCTCCGTTTGAACCATTGGCTACCTGCTCGCTCCTGTACTTATCTTGGAAGACAGCCTTCCTGGTAGCCATCACCTCAGCACGGCGCGTCTCGGAACTCAGGGCGCTGACATCCGAGCCCCCATACACGGTGTTCCATAAGGACAAGGTGCAGCTTCGCCCCCATCCTGCCTTTCTGCCAAAGGTGGTGTCACCTTTCCACGTGAACCAGGATATTTTCCTCCCGGTCTTCCATCCGAAACCACACGCTACTCGTCAAGACCAGCGTTTACACTCTTTGGACGTACGCAGGGCCCTGGCTTTCTATATTGACCGTACAAAGCCATTTAGGAAGACGACGCAACTCTTCGTTGCGGTGGCCGACCGGATGAAAGGCTCACCGGTCTCTTCACAGTGCCTGTCCACTTGGATCACGTCCTGTATTCGTGCTTGCTACGACCTGGCCGGTGTACCGACGCCACGCCTCACCGCTCATTCCACGAGGGCCCAGGCCTCCTCGACTGCCTTTCTGGCTCAAGTACCAATCCAGGACATTTGTAAAGCTGCAGTGTGGTCATCGGTCCACACATTTGCTACTCACTATGCGCTGGTGCAACAATCCAGAGACGACGCTGCTTTCGGGTCAGCGGTTCTGCACACAGCAATGTCTCACTCCGACCCCGCCACCTAGGTGGAGCTTGGGAGTCACCTAACTGGAATGGATATGAGCAAGCACTCGAAGAAGAAAAGACGGTTACTCACCGTTGTAACTGTTGTTCTTCGAGATGTGTTGCTCATATCCATTCCAAACCCACCCCCCTTCCCCACTGTCGGAGTAGCCGGCAAGAAGGAACTGAGGGGGCGCTGGGTCGGCTGGGGTATATATCCAGCGCCATAACGGCGCCACTCTAGGGGGCTCCACAGCCGACCCACCGGGTGTTGCTAGGGTAAAAATCTTCCGACGATCGTGCACGCGGCGCGCACACACCTAACTGGAATGGATATGAGCAACACATCTCGAAGAACAACAGTTACAACGGTGAGTAACCGTCTTTTCCTACAGCCAAATTCAGGCCTGGTGGAAGCAGGTTAAACTTCACTGACTTCACCGGCACTTCTGTTGGAGTTGCACCCAGTTACACCAGTTCTGATATGGCCCATTAACTCAGAGGAATAATAATAATGATGGATCATGAGAGTGTAAATCCCACCATCACTTGTTGCTTTAAATGTTGCTCTTACATTTATATTCTCTAGGTCCATGAAACACACAAACCACTTAATACAAAAACAACTTTAAAAAGTGGGCATTTATTTCTTCAAGCTCTTCTTTTTATATGTGATTTGTTGCTGAACCAGGTCTGTGCTGTTTAGTTTCTTTCCAGGCTCCAATTTTTCATGTCGATAGAATGATTTTTAACTGTGTCTCAGCAGAGAGCAGTGGAAATCCACTTCTTTCCTATTCATTGTTGTTAGACAAAGCATAAAATAAGAATCAGAAAACAGAAATACAAATTATGACATCAGAAAGCTAGACTTATATTCTAGATCCAGAGTAACACCTATGACAGCAATAGAATTGCCCTCCCTAAGGCAACGCATAATGCCTTGTTAAATCTGTATTGTGAGTTGAAGTGTCTGTGTGTGCGGCTGTGGTAATCATTTCTGTATCTATTGCAACTTTGTTATTATTTGTTTAATACAAATAGTACTGTGGTGGAGCCCAGGAGCTCCAGTCATGGACGAGGACTCGACTGTGCTAGGCACAATACAAATACAGACCAAAAAGATAGCCCCTGCCCATAGAGATTACTATCTCAGACTTTACCGATTGTACTTTCTTTTCTCCACAGCCCTCAACACAGCAAGATGTGAGAAATTACAAAAAGAGAAGGAGGAACTGGAGAGAAGGTTTGAGGAGGAGGTGAGGAAGCTGCATTGGCAACAGCAAGAAGAGCTGCGTGCCCTTGAGGAGAGGTTGCAGTTACAGTACAGGGGCGAAATGGACCTCTTGCAAGAGGAACACAGACTTCAACTTGTGAGGATCAAGTGTCAGCACCAAGAACAGGTCAGCCATAAGTTATTCATGTTAGGGGGATAGAGCAATGCAATTACAGTGCAGGTTACTGTCCAGCTGAATGTTGTGACCTTCTCCAGTATGAAGACATTGTAACAAGCTGATAACTAGTAGAAGATCCAAGTTTCTTACCCTTCCTAGTCTAAAGAAAAGCACATACTTCTGACTGTACAATGCCTTTCATTCACACATCCTAAAGTGCTTTACAGGTAACTCACTTGTGCGGTACCAAATATAAATATTGGGCCCCGTCCACCACCCTTACTCACAATGAGCAGTACTGTACCCCATTGAGTTGACTGAATCTACATGTTAAGTAAGATACTTCTCAACGCAAATAAGGGCAGCAGAAGCTTGCCCAGTTATATTTCAAATTACAGATAAAGTGGGGCAGAGCGGTGAAGTGACTTACCCAACGGCACATGTTTTGTCAACGACACAGGATAAAATCCAGGTTTCCTGACTTCTGTTGTTCAACCATTAGACATTATTGCCTCTAACTGAGCACATAACTTTGACTATGAGCCTCAAGTATTTCTCCTGCTTTTCTTTCCTAAATAAATGGGATTACATAGCATATAGTATTTTTAGCCTTATTTTTTAATAAGTTAACTGCATAGCCATTTTAACTCACATATGGGCCTACTACTGTACTCGTGTGTAGACCGTGGTAGAATCGGACGTGCTAGCAGGATGCTCTGCTGTGGTTTATGGAAATGACTCCTTCCATTGACTTTGATTAATTATTCATATTGCACACAATTAACAATTGACATGGTTAAAAAGATTTCAGCCCTGACAGACTTTATCCAAAGACTAAAGGCAAATCGACACTACAGCGCTACATCGGCACAGCTGCACCACTGTAGCCCGTCTGGTGAAGACACGCTAGGCCGACGGGAGAGCGCTCGCCTGTCGGCATAATTACTCCACCTCAGCAAGAAACAGAAGCTATGTTTGCGGGAGAGTCTCCCACCGACACAGCGCTGGCATGGACAGCGCAAAACTTGTGTCTCTTGGGGGGAAGCTTTTTCGCACCCCTAACAACATACGTTAAATGGACTTAAGCGGTAGTGTAGACCTGCCCTAACCAACACTATTCATGGAAGGCTCTTCTCATTGTAATTTCTATATCGTCATCATGTCTGGGTGGAATCTAACCCTGAAACCTAAGAGACAGACTAGTCCTGTTGCCTGCAGGGTCTCGTGGGTGAAATTTCACATAGGGCTGCATGTACAGTACTTGGATTCTCTAATATGTATCTCATAGTTTCGTGTTTGGAGCAAAAGCCTGGGACTCAGAATTCCAGGGTGCTAGTCTTGGCTTTGCCTCTGAAACACTGAGTGATCTTGGGAAAGTCACCTAACTTTTCTGGCCCTGATCCTTGTACCTTGTGTAGTTGTTTGCAATTGTGTGAGGTGAATGTAAAGCACTAATCAATCAGAACGACCCTGACTTTGAACAACAGTAAATGACTGCATAGTGGTGCAAGACATGAGAATGAGACCCAATGTCTCTGAGTTCATCTGTCTGTGAAATGGGTAGGATATTATTCACCTTCTGTACCTCGTGTGTGGTAAAACACTTTGAGATCCTGGGAAGAGAGTACGAGTACAAAGTGGGGAGATGATGATTTTATTTTTATCAAATGGTTCCTTATAGAGGCTCAGAGTGTTGGCCTGGAAGAGATGGGGTGCTGCACCATGTTATGTTGATATCTACTGTCCTGTCATCTGGATGGTACGCAGAGGAGGAAAATGGTGGAAAACGTGCATCTAAGACTCACAACCAGAGGGGCTGACACTAGAGTTGTCAGGACTAGAATTGGGCAGGAAACAGTCTTCCCGTCCTGCGAAAATTGTTAAGATTTCAAAGCATTGGGTTGAAACTGAGACCTTCCAAAATTAGGGAGAAAGAGAGAGCGAGCCATCCTAAAATAGCCTATAGCCCAGTGACTAGGGCATGCCCTTGGGACGTGGGTGACACAAGATCCTGCTCTGAATCCCAGCTAGCTCTAGCCAGGATAACTGCATAGCCACAAGCTCTCCAGTGTAGCTTAACGCTGAAAAGGAAGCTTTTTGTCTGAGAATGCACATAGAGATATCCGTCTTCCTCCGTTTCTAGCCTGAAGGTGTCCATGCACATGTTGTTTATTTTTTTTCCCCTCACAGTCAATGAACTGCTAATCTCTTATGGCAGATTCTAGTTAATGTCTTTATCAAGGATGTTTTCCTTCCGTCTCCTATGTAAGGTTTGATTCCTTTGTGGCGGGGATGGGAGTGCTCTCGCTGGGGTTTGACCATTCTGAACTGCTAAATCCTTTTATAGTTATTGATCTTAAATCCTTCCCAATTGTGCTGTTTTACCCAATGCTTTTGTCTGAGTATTGATTTCCTAGTATGTGGTGGGAAGTGTTGTGAAAGTTTGAGTCAAAAGCTCTTTGTGTTTTAAGCTAGAGCGTTTCCTTTCTTCGCTCTTAATCTTTTACCATCTATATTGAACCATACTTCGTGTTGTTTTTACCCCTTTTATGTTGAGTCATTTTTGTTGGTTAAAGATGTCTTGTTGTGAAGTCTATGTACTATCAGACATTACTGATTGTTTGGGAACTCATAGGTGAGGTTTTCAATTGCTGAGGATTTAAGCTTTGGGTTTTTTGTTTTTTATTTCTTTGTTTTCTTGGCAGTGCTGTGTTTCTATTTATTTCTTGGGCGGCTCTTAGAGATATTGGGCAGGATGGTGCTTTGCTCTTACTCTAGTTATAAAATAAGCTGACTCAGGTCAGACAGGTTGTGCTGGGATTGGATTCTTAGCATATTTATCTTGCTCGTTTCCCAGTCTGTTATGGTTTAATCCACCACATTATTACCAGCTGAAGCAATGGGAAGTAAGTCTGTGTCATTCAAGGGTTGCAGTGTCCCATACAAAAATATGAATTAGTCTTCAGGGCTGGTCAGTCCAACACTAAGTTAAATCAAGATTTTTTTTAAATCCAAAGTAAAGTTGTGTTCCAGGTTTTCAAACATTTTCCTAACAATCTTACCCATGTACAGCACTCTCCAGCTCATTACACTTCTCCAGTTTGGGCCTCCGCTCAATATTTATTCATTAGTAAATGAATTAATTAATTTCATGGAGGAGAGGTCCATCAATGGTTGTTAGCCAAGATGGTCAAGGTTAGGGTGACCAGACGTCCCATTTTTAAGGGGACAGTCCTATATTTAAGCCCTCCTGCAGGTGTCCCAACTTTTTCTTTAAAAATGGGCAAATTGTCCCGTATTTTCTGTCTCTCCCCTGCCCGCACCCTCCATCAGTACCGGCGAGTCCTGCTGCTGGCCGGATCCCTGATCACCAGCCTCTTGCCCACCAGCGGTGAGGGGGGGCATCCAGTGGCTGACGATGGGGGTGGGTAGTGCAAGGCTGGTGGTGGGACAAAGCTGCAGAGCACGGGGCCAGCTTCTTCCTCTGCTGGTCCTTCAGTGCAGCCCCCGCTGGGTGCCAGCTCTTGGCTAGCAGGGCCCCACCCTCTGTCCCATTTCCGGACGGCACTGGCTGCACGCTGCGGTGGCTGGTGAGTGTGGGCAGGCACCAGGCGGCGGCCAGTTACGTGTCGCCTCTGCTGCCCACCCGTCGGTCCTTTACGTCCTCCCCTCTCGCTGTCCTCTCCCTGCTTTGCCCCTTCACCCCCCAGCCCAGCTGCTCCTCCATATCCCCCCCGGCGGGATGCATCCCGCTCCCAGCGCTGCACAGGGAACCAGCCCTGGTCAGAGCACTCAGCTCACCAACAGCCTGGCCGGCAGGCTCCTTCCTTCCCCCACTGCCTCTGGCTGGGCTGGTACCCTGGGAAAGCCAAAGACCCTCCGACCCGGGGCGCTGGCCAGGAGGAGTTGAGCCCTGTATGTGCCAAAGCCACGCACAGCACTTGACACGGGGAAGCCTCTCCACCCCTCAGCTAAGCTCTGGAGTGGTGGGGGTGGGGGGATTTCCAGCCTATTCACGCCCCAACCCTGCAGGCTCCACAGCAGCACCCCAGGCAGGGGCGTAGCACCCTCTTCACCTGCGCCCCGTCCCCTAGGCACCCTCCTCTGCTGAGCCACCTCTCTGGCCGGGTTCGCTGAAGCCACTGCAGTCAGGTTCCCTGGGCCCTGGTGCACAATGCATCATTAGGGTTTAACCCCTTCCTGCCCGCACTGTAGTGAAGGGACAGAAGGCAGCTGGGTTATGTCGGTGGCCAGCAGCAGCCTGGAGGTGTTAGCTGCCTTTGACACTGTGTGGGCAGGAAGGGACAAGCTGCTTCGGGGGGAGGAGAGATGAGATCTGCAAAGAGACGGGTCAGGTTATCCCTCCTCTCCCCCCGCCCACCCGCATCTGGAAGCAGCTCCCATCCCTTCCCTCCCACACAGTGTCGAAAGGCTGCTCCTGGCCACATTCTGGTTTGAACCCTGGCTGAAATCTGGGGAGGGAGGCATGTGACCCGGCGTGCCCCCCCACGCGTTGCCTCAGGAAGATGCGGCACCAGGTTCCAGGAGAGGCGAGCCCATCCCAGAGGTCCAGCCAGGCATGGAGGGCAGAGAGCACCGGACAGGGAGGATCAGGTCGGTCGGTCACCCACCCCCACCCATGTGAGAGAGGTGTATGAGAGTGAGGTGTGTGTCGCCTCTCCCCGTGTGAACCCTAAAGCCTTAACGATAAGAAGGTAAATAAAAAGAATCCGAGTACGCAGTATTTCGTTTTAACAGGGGCTCAGTCAACTTGATGTTAATTTGAATGTTTGTACTGCATAGTTCTCATTGATTGCCATTGAACTCGCTTGAATACAAGTAATTTTACCAGGTGTCCCGTATTCAGCATAGGAAATATGGTCACCCTAGTCAAGGTTGCAACCCCATGGGCTGAGTGTCCCTAAGGGTACGTCTACACTACCAGCTGGATCGGCGGGTAGTGATCGATCTATCAGGGATCGATTTATCACGTCTCGTCTAGACGCGATAAATCGATCCCCGAACGCACTCCCCGTCAACTCCGGAACTCCACCGCTGCGAGAGGCAGAAGCGGAGTCGACGGGGGAGCGGCGGCCGTAGATCCTGCGCCGCGAGGACGCGGAGTAAGTCAATCTAAGTCGATCTAAGATACGTCGACTTCAGCTATGCTATTCTCGTAGGTGAAGTTGCGTATCTTAGATCGATCTCCCCCTCCCCCTAGTGTAGACCAGGCCTATGCCTCTGACCGCTAGAAGCTGGGACTGGATGACAGGGGATGGATCACTCGACAGTTGTCCTCTTCTGTTCACTCCCTCTGAAGCATTTGGCATTGGCCACTGTCAGAAGACAGGTCTTCTGAACCACTGGTCTGGCCCCACATGGCCATTCTTATGTTCTTACGCCTTATAACTCTTTTGGGAGGTAGTTGTTACAGATAGAAAAACGAGGTTAGGTGACTTTGTCAAGTTTAACGAGTGAATCAGTGGTAGAGCTAAGTTTAGAACCCAGGAGACCTGATTCCATGTGCGAAAGAATCTACCTACTATGAAAAGTGGCAGAGGAGGCTACACTGGAAGAACAAAGGGAGCCAGAAGGAAAATGGGTATGGAGTCAGAAATGTAGGCTGGGCAAAATCCATGGAGAAGTTTTTGAAAACTAGCTTTTTGGCTTTATTGAGAAGGAACCTGCCAGTGAAGCTGGTGAAGAAAGGAACTCTGCCTCCTGTTTCCTAGATCTCAGAAGATTAGGGATTTAGCATAGTCATTCCAATGCAGTGGTGTTCATACGTAAGGCATGAATAAAGATTTAAGCAAGTACAAGGTAAATAATTCTGGCAGTGCTTCAGAGGTGGTGATAGGCTGACATACAAACAAATAGAATATACATACCAGGGGAAGGGGCTGATGGTATTCATACACCAGTACCAGCTCACTAAGCCACCCAGCCCTCTACTCACTCACTCTTTAGATCTCATCTTAGCAACTAAATCCCACTTTGTTTTATGAATAATTCTTAACCATAGCACTGTCTCTTCTCATGTTATCATCAAGACAAGTTTGTATAATTTCAAATTCCAAACTAAATGTATATTTTTCATTCTAAATTTAAATCTTATCTAATTTAATTAGCAATTTGGCAGCTGATGTCTGAGCTAACTTTGATATTTTGAATGATTAAATGTAGTAAAACATTTATTCTTATCCACACTAGTTCTGTGGCTCTGTCTTTGTTCTTTAATCTAACATTAAGTGTAAATAAAACAGCTGTGTGCATGAAGCAACTTCACAGTGAACAGCTGTTTCACTATAAAAATACAATTGTTTGATACACCACATTACAAAACAATGCAAGAGAATATGTTTGATTAGGGAATGTGATCATTATAACTCACAAAGCCCAGAAGAGCAAGTGACTTATATAGTCCTTTATCTGTGGCAATCAGAAGATTACTCTGACGGAGGCTGGTGGGCCCCGGAAATTGGAAGTGGGATACAGATCTTTTCAGCATTAGGTCATTGGGTCAATAGTGGCAAGGACTCATTGCCATCCGATGGTTTTTCATTAGCCTGTTATGATGTGAGTTGATGGTGGTACTAGTCCATTTCCATTAGGACAATTGTCCAAATCAACAGAAACCACCATCGCAAGTGGTACTACACGGCACCATTGTAGACTAAGGTTTGAACAAGCCTGGAGACCAAACAAAGAGGCAGTTTCTCCTGCTCCAGGTTAGAATGATTTGGAGAAGCTTGTCTTGTCACAGCTGGTGATGTGTCTGTTCCATAGAGATGCCAGGTGCATCAGTCTCCAGGAGTGCCAACCTGGCACCTTTCAAGAACACTAACTGCACTCAAAATGTAAAGTGCGGGGGAAACCACCGGTAAAAGAGATTGAAATGATTCCAGAGTCTCATGTGGTAGATTAATTGTATGATCAGCGCTGTCACAAGAAACAATGTAGCTGTAGAATCCTTGCCATAGTTAATCAGAATGAGATGGTGATTATTTGTCACCGGACATGTATGTATGAATATTCAAAAGGTTGAGGCTGTTTTACTTGATTTTTTTATGAGCATTGTGTTTCGATAACAGATACATGGCACAATCCCATCATATTTGACTTGATGCACATCTCTGGTGCTAAGAATGAATCTCAGCTAAATTAAGAGGTCTTGATCCTACGTGATTTATTCAGACAAAACTCCCATTGGTCTTATTTATATATATTTATTCTTTATTGTCTTTATCATATCAAAAATAAACCAGTGTGTGATCCACCAATGGGAGCTGAAGAATAAAGTGCACTTTGTTGAACCACTTTTTTTAATATATTCACCTCCTTGCCTATTCAGCCACTGGATTGGCCTAATATTGCAGTCAAGTAATTCTATATTCTCACTCCTGGGTCTCATGGCCATAACAAGAAAAATTTGGAATCTGGCTATATCTTATCCACACGCCCTATAATAAAAGATGTGAAGGAACGATCCATTGATGCTCCTTACACAAAACCAACGGGTGTGTTATCTGCATGTAGGCAGTGGAAAGGTTTCCTATATATTATCATGTAGCTTTTGTCATTGTTGTTTGCATCAGTAAGTTACTGCACTGACTGAAACAACAGGAAAGCTCTCAGTCATCAGTAAGAGAAGACGAAGGGAAACTTGCTGATTTCAGTGGCATCTCAATGATTTATTTCTGCACCAACTTGAAAATGCTTGTGCGTATATTAACAAAGGGTATCACTGACTTACTGGGATTGGATTAATAAGCATATGAGCATTTTAGCTGGGAATAGGAGTTTGTAATGATGATTCTCTAAATAATTATTGTTCAATTTTATATTTGCCGATAGCTATTATTTTCATTGTTTTTCTATAAATAAATGCTAAATCTTTTTGGCATCTTCCATTGAGGTTAACTCAAGGTCTTAAAATAAAAATAATTGTAGTAGAATACTATGAAGGGCAATAAACCCAGGATATCTTGGAATTGGGTCTGTTTATCAGATCATACGGGAGAGTCTGGTTTGTTAATAGCATTTCAGTTTATGGGCTGCTGAAGTTTCTGAACACATAAATGGCCTTGACAAATGAAAGGTTTTCAGCCTGTGTTTTTTTTTTTTTAATACCACTGTTGTTACCATTAAGTTGCAAGAGCAGCATGCAGTGCCCACATCCCATCACTCGCGGAGTCATAACACACTTTCTGCAATTAATCATTACACTTGATAACATAAGAACTGTTGCACTCAATCCGCGTCATCTGTAACTTTCCAAGGCCCTGGTGTTTTCTGATAGTTCCTCCTGTTGGTGCTCCATAGCACTAATATTTTTCTGTCCATAACTTCATTTTGTTGTCTTTTGAACAGGTGGAAGATATTTCAGCCACTCACGAAGCTGCAATGTTAGAGATGGAAAACAATCACACAGTTGCCATTGCAGTACTCCAGGATGATCATGACAACAAAGTTCAAGGTAATCCTGGGACACTTATACATATGGAGCCATCCGAGTCCTAACGTTGGAAGTGCTGTGAGATAGGCTTGAAGCTCCTTAATCCCAATCAGATGATAAAATCGCAGTTGGCTGATAACCCTGGTCCTCTAATTTTGGACTGAATTCTTACTATGTAGTTGCACTGTAGGGAGGTGATAAAGGGAGGAAACAATATTCCACAATGAAACCCTATAAACCTTCATCGGCTGTCTTTGCTGCCAAGAATGAGAGCAGAAAAGCACCTCAGTACATGCATAATGCATAATAGGGGTTGACTAGAAAAGGCAGAACATATGCCTTCCGATCGCTCAGTATACCCCGACATCCATGCCAGAACACAAGAGGACTCCAGTCACTCTTGATGGAAGCATCATTGTTGTAGACATTTAAAATTAGACTGAACCCACTAGTAAATACAGAGCAGGGAATAACTCTGCACTTTAGAGTCAGTGCTGCAATGGGCAGAGGTTTGATTTGGCCAGGTATAAGTTAAGGGCTATTGCTATGGGCGCCAGCATAGTAGAACGGCTGCTCCCCAACACCTCCCCCTTCCTGAGCAGCCAGTATCAAAATGCAAGACATTACGCACACCTTGTCATTGCAGAGAGGCTCCCAGCAGGCACATAGTATCCAGCCCAGTTTAGTCACCGATTCCTCCCCCTCGTTTTGTAAAGCTGCGTGCCAGCTTTTCTGTTACACCAGGGGCTTCGATGAGACTAATGTCATAAGCCTAAACATTACTGGCCAGTTGTAGGGATTTTATACTGATTGATGTGGTGTATAATAGATACCCTACCGTGTGTGCAAATGGTTTTGACCTCTGAATAATGAAAGGACAATTGTTTTTATGGCAGCATGGTTACAGCCTTAAACTAGACATGTTGGTGCTAATGTCGGGCTGGACCCTGCAAGGTGACACCTGCCCTCCACTCCCTGGGGGTTAGTGAGAATTGAGAGGTACTCAGGACCGTGCTCGGTCAGGCCCTTTGTGAAATGAAATGTTAGTTTTAGCTAATTGTCTTAGGCTGTGAAGGATGGTGAGCATTAACTGTGGAGACAAAAGGAAGGAAACGGCTGCTTTGGAGAATGCAGCTGTGACATGATTTAAAATGAAGACCCTGATGCTAATGGTGTTATATATAAGCCCACCAGTGAATAGCATTAAATACCTATAAAGGGAGCTAAAAAAGGAAGAGGTTAGTGCTACAGTGCATTTCAGACAGAAATACTGCATGGGAAGAATCCTTTACTTAGATTGGAAGGAACTGTCATGCTGTAACCAAGCACTGGAATGGGTTACCTAGGGAGGTGGTGGAATTGCTTCCTTAGAGGTTTTTAAGGTCAGGCTTGATAAAGCCCTGGCTGGGATGATTTAGTTGGTGTTGGTCCTGCTTTGAGCAGGGGGTTGGACTAGACCTCCTGAGGTCCCTTCCAACCCTGATATTCTATGATTCTATGAAACTAAGAACAACTTCAGGCCTGATCCCTCAGCTTCCCATAGCTTCACTTGACGGTTCTCTGCACAACTCAGGATTGCACAGTATAAGAAGTCTGTATTATGCCAAATGAGATTCAAATGCATGACTCCCTTTGAAGTCACTGAGAGCTGCATAGGTGCAACTGAGAGCTGAGTTCTGTCTGTACTGGTGATATTCCCAGGTAATGGAGATCCAGAACTTAGGGTAAAAATTTCAAAAATGTCATTGTCTTAGAAGCCTACGTCCCATTGTCAAGAGAGATATAGACACTTAGAAGCCTAAACTTCATTGAAAGTCAATAGGAATTAGGTTTCTGAGACCTGCATTTTAAAGATATGTAGATGTTGCTCCGCTCAGCACTGTAATACCTCTTAGGAACCTAAGTTTCATTTTCAGAAGTGACTGAGGCATTTAGGAACTTAAGTCCCCTTGACTTTCACTTTTGAAAATGAGATTTAAGCTCCAAAATCACTTAGGCCTTGCAGTGCTGAGCAAAGCAACACCTAAATACCTTTTAAAATCTGGGCCTAAATCTCTTTTGAAAATAGACATATGCTTCTTAGTGACTTAGACACACATGAAAATTTTACCCTCAATCCTTTCCTTATTGTTGTATGTCCATGTGATCTGATCAGATAGGCACTTCAGAATAAAACACAAAACACATCAATTTTCTTGTGTGGATTGATATTCAGTGGGTACCGCTCTTTCTTACACACACACACACACACACACACACACACACACACACACACACACA